TTTTTTGTACTCAATCGTTTAATATAAATGAAGTTAACAAACATTTTTCATTAAAATAATTAATCTAAACCAAAACTCTGATGCTTCAAATTAGCAGGGTTCTCTGCAGACTGTGTCCACTTAGCGTAGTCGAACAGTCATATTTTGCTGTATATATTACCAGTGACAGACAGAAATCACACCAAGGAGGCCAAGCTGCGGGGCATCAGCAGGCCAAGCTGACAACGAGGGTGAAGTGTTTGAGTAAATCTTGCGCCTGGCCCATTGGCCCCATGGCAGGGGCCTCTCTGCGCCGCTTTGAGAAGCCCTGAGGATGACAGGTGCTTTTCGTAATGCCTAACTGATGAGAGCCAATCAGTGCGTTCCGTTGTGCTGGTGTGTGCGTCTCCTCTCCTGTTGTTGTCATCTGGCCTGCTAAAGTAAAGATGAGCTTGACTGACAGATGCATCCGGGTTCACAGTTTATTGGTTTCTACGAGAGAGCCAGATATGCCAATTTAGACAGGGTAGTGACAAAAAAAGTTCCCATCTAAATGGAATAATTTTACCACTGGGAATTCTCAGCTGGGAGAGGAGGGAGTGTGCTATGTGTGTGTATGTGTGTGTGTTTTATCTTTTAACAAGCACTGAATGACAAACACATAGGACAGTTAGGGGCTGACAGAAACAGCAGCTTTTGATGCTTCACAGGGGATCCATGAAATAAACAATAGGCAGAGGAAGCAGAGAAATTGAATTACAACCGGCTGCATTTGGGAGTGAGGCAGCAGCCGTGTGGTGGAAAAGGATGAAACCAATGCATCATTAAATATACTGGAGGTCTGAAGTTGGGGCTGTGCTCTGCTGACAACTATCCTGCCTCTTTGTTTAACTCTCTTCTATCAGTTCTGCACTCACACTTTCACACAATTAAAAAGAGTTGGGTGTTTTTACGACAAACTATATCGTCAATTAAACAATAATCATAACTCGTTAAATTCCTTACACAAAAATACTCAAACAGTATGTCATATTTTTGAGCTGCAATGTGTTGCATGACTGTTCATAAACCCAAACATCGATAAAGCAGGAGCAGAGATGCTCCTCAGCAACCTTGTACTCTGAATCATTTTCTTATGGTGTTAATAATGAGAGGACGGCAAGTCAACAACAGACATATAAAAAAATTTATTTCTCATGTGCACAAAAAGGAATTGGAACAGAACGGAAAAAGAACAATGATTGAGGCCACAAGGCTTTCCTTATAGATTTTCATCAGAAATCCGTTTAATGTCCATGACACATCTCCTGCATCATCTTTACAACGGCAGGAAGACCCAGTCCAGCAAACGAAAAGTTTGCCTGACTGTTTTCACACGGCACAGTGCTGTGAGCCATTTTCAGATGTGTCAAACTGCAACTAGACAGGAATCCCAAGTGCAATTTGTAGAAAGAGAGCTTCTCATGGAGAGCAGGACCACTGCCTGTTTCTTTGTTTTCTGGTTCTCTCAGCAATGACACGCTAAAACCTGACAAGAAATTAGCTTGTGGGAGAAAACCAATGCTAAACACGTACCAGTAAAAAAGTGGAGGGATGGTGCATTTGTAGTTGCATGGGAATGATGTGTTTTTGTACACAAAAGGTGATGAGCATCTAATGTGGAAGATGAACAAAAAGCAAACAGGACATTTTTGAATGTAATTTTCATTTACGAGATTTTGGGGAGTAAAAGTGAAGAAAAGTCTTTTGGACATTTTTAAAAGCAATATTTCCGACCTCTTGAAATGGGGCTCTGTGGAAAAAGTTTGAACCAATAAAATCTTCCCTGATGTAGCCACATCATTAAACATCCTCATTTGAGTTTACTGTATATCTTACTGAACTGCAGAGCTACCAACCAATGCGAGTGAGGCAAAGACAAGCGGATTCCCACTAAACTCCAGTTTTAAAATTTCCACAACTGCATGTGGTAATGTCTTTTTACAAACCCAGAAATTGCTCTTTGCTTCATGTAATATGGTTATTTGCAAACAATTCAAATTATTTGTAGCTGCAAATAACAGCAGCTACAGCTAGGTGAAGCACTTCCAGTGCAGTCAGGGGCTCTTCCTCCAGGAATACAATATCTGCAAGAAAGTGTGTTGTGAAAAACTTACATTGATTTAAAGTTTTTTTTAAGCCTGTTCAATTTATGAACAGGCTTAAAAAACTTTACAGCAATGCTAGTGTTGTTATTGAAGCTGTTTTAAGACAATAGCAAACCACTTTTGATCTTGGTCTTATCGCTAACTTGTCAATTAGACCAGAATTCAACAAGATTTCTTCAAACGAAGATTGTTCAACAAGCAAATTTACAGCAATTGCAATATAAAATTGTTAAGAGCCTTTCCATAGAACCCCAATTCAAAAAATCTGAACCATCCCTTTACCTTTTATCCTGTTCTCCATGGGAATTTGTTCATCTGAGCCCAACAACAAAACTTAGTTCCGAAAACCATTAAACTCATTGCATAGTGACAGAAAACAACATCAGGACAACAAATGATCATAAACGTAAAACCAAAAAGACACAGACAACCAATGCGATGTTAGCATCTGAAACCTGACGTAGCCATATGTTATATAGCAGTTGTACCGTTCCTCAGCGCACGTTACATTAAGACACAAATGTAATGTATGATTTTTTTTTCAGTCTGTATCTACAAAGGGAGCCAGTACATTAGCACGATACTGCAGTGGTCGTGACATTATATTTACAAAGAAGAATTGTCTTCACATTATTCACAAATTATCCTAAAAAGCAGCACTTTGTTGTTGGAATATCGAGCCACTGAATTTGACCTTTTTCTTTACAGTCATATTCATCACCTGGTGAGAAATCCTGACCTGCACATTCCATCTTGACTTATGTAAGAAGATAATACTGATGCATACATTTACTGTAAATAAAATATTAAATATCAAACTAAGTCTTTGGCAAATGTTGTAAGGAGTACATTCACAAAATATTTTCCAACATGTAAAATGAAGCAGTATTTCTTTTCAGGCCCTGTGGAGAGTAACCGCATGGAGGGAGGTGACTGAACCCTTTGAAGGCAGTTAGATGTGTTGAACATGTATGCATTTAGGTGGATAAAACATTTGTAAAGTGACTGTGGTTTAATTTAAAATGGCTTGCTCAACTTCAGGTTTTTGAATTTATAGGCATCAATTGCTTTTGACCACATAGTCAGAGGAACACGTTTTAGCTGAGGGATGCCATGCGTTTGTACAAAACATTTATTGTATTGAAATAAAACACATGAATCACTAATCTAACGAGTTTTATTGTTTTTAAATTGATTTTTAAACCATGTGTTTGAGCATATATTTCCTCAGGCATTTTTCAGGGGTTAATGTAGCACCCTCAGCACCCTCACTTCCCACAAACTCATCTGCCCAAGTAGCTGAAAGAAGTAAAACTGAATATTTGATGTTTTTGCCAGAAAAATATGGATTATAATTTAATCAAGTCTTATAAGGATTAGGGGTGCACCGATAAATCGTCCGGCCAATTAATCATCCCCAATTTCCTTAATTTTGAGAGATCGGACATCGCGATACTTACATGAGAAACCAATTTTACCGATTTTTTGTAGTTTTATCAACAATTGTCTCGACTTCATTTATATTTCAGAGCACTACCTCATGGCCAGTTGAAACAAGTTTGTAGTGTTTGTAGGATATTTCTTTTGTAAGCTCAATCATCCTTCATGCTACATAGATAACAACAAAAATTGTTAAATCATGTCATCTGGACCCGTTTCTTTAAGTGAAGAAACGTTTTGTCCCCAATCCAGAGGACTTTGTCAGTCTGCGGCCTAACAGATACAGATGACATGATTTAACCATTTTTGTTTTTGTAGGATATTGTTCAGGGGTATGTTTTACGACTGGAAAATTGAAGGTGCATTGTGACCTTGACAGTGTTGCTTATAAAACAAAATCGGTATCGGTCAAAATCGGAATCGACATGTCAGGCTTTTTAGAGCTCGGTGATCAGCCAGAAAACTGCAATCAGTGCACCCCTAGTAAAGATCACCATTTGTTTTGTGGCTTTACACCAATGCATCTAAAATCTGTTAACTTTTGAGGGACTCGATCAAAACAAACAAAAAAAGGGGGAACAAGCCAACGTCTTGGTGCAATAAAGAGCAAAGACATAATGCGTCCGATTCCAAATAATCTTTTATAATTTTGTTTATAAGCAAAAAGAAGAAAAAAAACTTGAAGTATTTAAAATTCTAGCAAGTCTATTTAAATCAATGGTCAATATATTTTCATATTTTGCAAAAATGATTAGCATCTTTACATGTGATTGGTTGCCATACGTGTGATGTTGCTCCTGGCTTAAAGGGTCAGTAAACACTGGAGGGTGTTCTGGCTGACGGTCAGGAGAAGTGTACAGGATGTTAAAGCATCTGAAAGAAAAAAGGCTTACAGTGAGAAGCCATTGTCTCTTTAAGTGTTAGAGGTGGATGCAAAGGACTGCCTCAAGTCACTATTTCATCGAGCTGTGGGACCACAATCATCTCCCCATGACTTTTCTCTTCAGAGCAGAAAAAAATACTGCAGTTCGTTACATAAAGGAATGTGAAGATCCGTGAATAAAACAGCAACAGCAACAACAGCAACAAAGGAACAAAACGTAAAAACCCACAACATTTTTCCACATGATATTCTTGATATTCTTCACACAGGTTGTTTTTTTTTTCTTCTCCAATTTATATCTTATAATATATATATTTATAGAATCTCTTAAAGTCATTCTGGAACATTTCCGGCCTGTGTGACAGCAAGGGCATGGCGTGTGAGCTCCGGATGCCGTTGGGTTCCCTGTGACCCAAAATGTGTAACGCTGAAGCTGGATGCACTGGCTCCAGTCTCGCCCATCCTTTCCTCCATACCACTCAAGATGACGGTGAGGGGTGGGGAGGGTGCATTTGGAAATCCACCTCGCTTCCCTTTGATGTCAGTGTTTCTCAGACATGGACAATATGGAGGCCGAAGCTCTGGTTCTGCATTTTGAGCTGGTCTCCGGGGTAACTAGTGGCGGTCGTAGGCAGTGGCAGCAGTGGGAGGTGCGGAGCCACGGGATGCGGCACTATAATAATAAGGGGAACCTGAAAGTTAACAGAAGAACGAGCTGTTGGAAACCACGAGATCAGACATCGTTGAACACAAATGTTTATCATCTGAATGAACTTACTTAGTAATGCTGGATTACTGAACCGCCAAGCTTCGTTGTAAGTTGTGTACTGTGGATGAGAGTAAGGATTTCCAGAAAAGTCCCCACCTAGGAAATAAATGGGTAAACTCAGTCAGTAGAGATATCAGTAACCAGAAACAGTTATGTTCTTTAATAAATAAATAAATGTCAGGTCTCTCTTGTAAATGAGTCCCCGAGGCTCAATGGGATTAACCTGTATAAATAAAGGTTGAATGAAAAATAGTGTGCACAACACAGCAAAGTTTCCAAGACATAATTTTTCTAATCTTCAAGTTAAATGATTCAATTCTATGGTAAAATATACAATTTCCTCTGCTCCTTTACAATAAGTTATAGCTTTTGCCCATATTTTAGACCAGTGGTTCTCAAACTGGGGGGTCTGCGATCCGGTGCTTGGGTGTCCATA